GGCTTGTTTTTGATCATTGTACTCTTAGGTATTGATGTAAAATCTCCCTCTGTGACAGCATATAGATGGAGGATAATGGGATGGAGAAGGGGTGGTCTGGAGATGTAGTGGGTCCTATCTGAATGAAGCCCGGACAGACAGTTCCCATATGGAGGTAGGCCACATGGTCAGAGCTGTCCAGTCACCATGGAGCCCCTGCCAAGGCATGGGTTGAAAGTGGCCCTCCTGGAGGAGATGGGGTTCTTGGTTATGGTCTGAAGAAGATCCTGCTGAGTTGAGGACAGGGGAACCCCAGGAATGAGCCGGGGGAGGAGAGCCTGAGATGTGTATTTATGATCTGAGCTGTTGGAAGCTCGTGTGCAGAGCCTCTGGTGAGTGGGCCAAAATGACAAATGGTTTCTGTGTGCCTTTTTATCATATGGCCTCACACTCTTATTTCTTTCGATTGTGTTGGGTTTGCTAGTGTTTTGATTGTATTAGTTACGTGTAAGATGGAGAAACCTTTCAGTCCCCCAAAGTAAATATGGATCTGCTTTCAATACATTTTATCTGTTAAGTTTCAGCAGCCAGGAAACAGCCTAAAGCTGTTTATTCCATGATAGGTTTTAGGGTTTGAGTCAGAGATAAAACATTTACTAACCCACTAGGTTCCAGGTGGTGTATTAAGCCCTTTGCAGGGTGGTGGCACCTTTTGTTGTCTGAAGTGTTTGGTCTGAGGAATCTGCTGTTTCCTTCTCTCAGCAAGTTGGCTCTCTCTCTCTGGAGAGGCCCCCTAATTTTCAGAATCCTGTGGTGGAGCCCAGTAGCGCTCTTCAGCTGGCGTCTGTCCCTGGCTCATCATCACAGCGGTTTTCTCATGCCCGATGGCCAAAGAGGGTGGGGTTAGATTGTAGTGTGGAGCCCTCTTCCAGGTGATTCTAAGGCCACACCGCCTCAATCCACCCTTCCCCTGCCAGCCCCTCCTTTGAGAGGCCCTGCCTGGAGACAAGCCATCTCGTCTGTGATGAGATGTAGGAAGCATCATGCATGGTCTGCTTTAGAGGGTCTGGAGGGGACGGTTGTGCCGAGAGAGTACGTGCCAGGGGTTCTTGGAGGAGGGGGGAGAGGAGTTGTGAGGTCTGGTGAGCTAGAAGGGAGGCGAGTGAGTGTCGGGAGATCTTCACGAGAAATACACCGGTTCTCAGGAGGTGAGAAGTACAGAGTTTACGCTCTAGAAGGAAAAGGCTGAGCATGTCTTAGTGAGCGTGTGCTGACCACTCGGGTACAGAATAGATTTAGTTAACTTGGAAAACCAAATTAAATAGACGTCTAGGCCAGACGGCTCACCTGGTTGAAAGAAGCGAAGGTAGTGTTTTCTGGCATGAAGAAGGTTTGTGGATATTGCTAATTATTTATTTCAAAGAACTAATCAGTAAAATGAAATTTGAGGAAATCAAATAATTTGGCCAGTTCTTTCCAGAAAGTAGCTCCAACCCGCTTTGATTTGTGGAGGCAGTTGTGTCATTTCCGTGTGAAGCCAAGAGTACCTGCCAGTGATTTGGCTTCACAAGTGTTCTGCATGCTTTTTCTTTTTGGGTTGAAATTCTTGCCTTTCCTATATGAGATGTTATTGCTACCCAAAAGTGTCTGGAATATATATTGCTTTAAGCTGTGGGATAAAGTTGACTCTCATGATGGTTTAATTTTATTGCATTCCCAGAGTGTGCGAGCTGTTGTTCAGATGGTGCACATGGTGGCTCCTGCCCCGTGAGACCACATTCAAAATCGCATCTTCCGTGCACATCACAGACCCAGGAACTGCACCTGCCTACGAGCCGCCCCTCATCTGCGTGGGCTCTTGCTCTTTCTGTTTGCCTGGCACATTAATATTTCTTTGTACTCTCATGTTATTTCTGTAGAAAAAGTTGTGTTTTACCAAGTAGGAAATATTTTACAGTAATAGTAGTTAATTATTTTAGTTTCAAGTTGTTTAAAATTGATCGAATGACTAAATCTTCAGCTAAAATTCTACTGTAGGATATTTAGAGATACTATAATTGCTATGTTATGTTTTCCTGTTTGTCCAGAGGTGGCTTTAGACAAGTAGCTCTACTCTGCCAGACAATTCATTTCTCTAACTATCGTCTGTGTAGCTTTTCCTTGGTTGTATATGATTCTGGGATATAAAGTTTGCTTGGTTTGTGGAAATCTGTATATGTAATATTAAATTTTTAAAAAAAATTTAACTTCTAAGTATTAAAAAGCTTCTCTTGTCTACTAGCTTTCGATAAAAGTGTGACACTAAATTGCTCCAGAGCCAGCAGTTAAGAGGAAGAAGAGCAGGGGGTCTGGGTGCACCCTAGACTGGACCCCGTTTCCCTGGTGATGGGCAGGATCGTTGGGCTTAGTGTTGAAAAGGAAGTTGGAGGCCCTGCTCAGTGCTCTCACTGGAGGCAAAGTCGCAGAGGCGCCCAGCCCTGCCGCACTTGCACGTCTCCAGCTGTGGGCCTGGAGCCAGCCCAGGCAGCTCCACTCGGCATACTGCACATCTGCCCCGTGAGCCCCCTTCTCTGTCTTCTCGGAAGACCACAGGTGACCCAAAGGACACCAGCAGTTGCCAAGTGGGGTCAGCTAAGAAAAGGAAATTTTGATATTATGCACCACAGAAATAATTCCGTGGAGAATATTTATTGGGTATTTCATAAAGGCTAAAATATAATGCAGTTGTCAAAAACGTGGTTTTGTGGGAAGCCACATATCTCAGGGAAAACGCTGGAATTGAAGTGTGCGAGTGGGTGAAGTACTGGTGGAGGTCACACACATCCTGTGTCGTCCTCCCCGGTGCCCCTCTGAGCAGTGTGAGGGAGTGTGTGCCTCCTGCATGCAGAGCCCTCAGCCAGGCACAGGGGTGGCAGTGGAAGTGGGGTGTGGGGTGGGGTGCCGGACCTCACTGTGTTGCTGTGCTGCGGCCACGGTGGGACTGAGCACGCTGCAGAGTCTTGCTGGTGCTGGCAGCACAAGGAGGCCTGGACGTGCCCTTTAGAGACGTATGCTGCTGATGAAAAATGTGGTGGGAACCACGTATCTTGGGGAAGACACTGGAAGTGATGTGTGAGAATGGGTGAAATATTGGAAATATGGCTGACAGATCTACAGCTGTGTCATAAATCTCAGTCTTGCTGGTTATTTCAGTTAGTTTAGTAATTTTATTGATCTGTGTCAGATATGTGCCAAGGAAGAATTTTAGGAGGTTTACAGAAATGAATATACTTACAAAAATGAAAACTACGTAAGAAATAGATAAGAGAATTAGGCACAGAAAATAAATGAAGGTAGTATTCCAAATAAGGGCACGCACCCTCTGTAAAAGGGCTCAGAATAGGCCGGGAAGGAAGTGGACCTTTTTAGTGGCCAGAGCCCTGATGGCTCCACGTGAATTGCCGTCAGCATCACTCAGGCTTTCTTTTGCCTGTTCTGTTAACACAGCCACACTCACCTGGCTGTCAGATCTTTAGGGAGAGGTGGAGACCTTCTCAGGGATATCTGGGGAACAGAGAGGGGCGTCGTGTATACAGAGGGCGGCAGACTTCTAGATAGTTAATGTGGGGCTTAGAGCCCCCAGAGAGGGGACTAGACACAGGTTATCCGTACAGTTCTAGAGCCACCCACCCACTCCTGCCAGTCAGAATCTGCATTCCCGAGACCCCATGGTTGGTGGCCCCGGAGTGAGTGAGCTCTCTTGGGGTACATTCCTCCCCAGCTCTGTCTCTCCTTGTTGGGACTGGGTCTGGCTATTGTCTTCCCAGGTCAAGGATTTAAAGCAGGCTCCATCCTGGGTGTGTGGCTGGCAAGAAAGGGCAGCGAATTCAATTTACTGAGTGTCTGCTCTGCAGATACAGTATGCCAGGACTCGGAGGAGGCAGAAAGAAACAACCCTCAATTCTGCCCTCACAGACCTACAGAGTAGGGTAGCCAGGTGTCAGCAGCGATCCCCAGATTTCGTTCACTTGAGCTGTCGTTTGCTCAGCCATCACTGTTTCACGAGTTTATGGGCTGCCTGTAGTAATGCTTACTTAATGTTTTCTTTATGTCAGCTTAGGTCTGATTTAAACACCTGCTTTAGCCTTGTCCTAAGGAATTCCGGTGGAGACAAGTGTTTGATATGTTCATTTTATTTTTTCTATGTGTTAGTTTAATCCATAATTAATAAACTCATATCTAAACTAATCTCACCCCAGTGCATGTTCAACACTCTGGAGTCCAACAGCCCCGTCCCTGTTGCCCACCCACCATGGGCTCTGGGAGGGTCACTTCCGTGTCTGAGCTTCAGGTTTTTCATTGTCAGAGAAATGAATGTGCCTAATTCGCAGGGTTCTTATAAGGATTAGAGAAGAAGCATCCAGAGAGCCTGGCACACAGAATGCAGGAATTGTCAGGAAACAACCAGTCCTGCTATTAGATTGCGTTGTGGGTTAGTAATGCAGAAAAAAAAATTTTTGAGTTATAGTACCACTCAGTGTCCTGAATGTGAGAAGTATATTTGATAATTTTTATAGTAAGTGTTGGAGAGGATGTGGAGAAATTGGAACCCTTGTGCATTGTTGATGGGAATGTAAAATGGGGCAGCTGCTGCAGAAAACAGTATGGTGAGTCCTCAAAAACTTAAACATAGAATTATCATATGATCCAGCAATTCCACTCCAAGTCATATACCCCAAAGAATTGAAAGCATGGACTCAAATAGATATTTGTACACCAGTGTTCATAGCAGCGTTATTCACAATAGTCAAACGTTGGAAACAACCCAGATGTCCATCAAGAAATGAATGGATAAACCACAAAACATGGTACATCCATGCAGTGGAATATTATTCAGCCTTAAAAAGGGAGCAAATTCTGGCACATACTACAACATGGATGGATCTTTTAGACATTATGCGGAATGAAATAACCAGACACTAAAAGATAAGTACTGTGTGATTCCACTTGTATGCAGTGCCGAGAGTGGTCAAATCACAGAGACGACAGCAGAGTGGGGGTGCCAGGGGCTGGGGAGAGGGCAGGGGGGAGTGAGTGTTTAGTGGGGACAGAATTTCTGTTGGGGATGATAAGAAAGTTTTGGGGATAGGTAGATGGTCACACAATGTTGTGAATGTATTTGATGACACTGAATTGTACACTTATAAATATAAAATGATAAATAATATGTGGGTTTTACCACAATAAAAAGAAATGTATTTGATCACTTTTAAACAGGAGAAATATCTAGGATGTTGTATCTAGCCCACGTGGTCATTGGCTCAGCATCGCCCCTTAGACACCCACCCTGGGCAGGGGGGCCCGAGGAGCACAGTGTGTCCCTGTGGGGAAGGGATGTACGTCATCAGGTGGGGTCTTCTTCAGGCCCTCTGGCACCACAAAAGCAATTCCAGAAACTACCTGGGCTTGGTGTTCAGAACAGGAAAAAAATGAGAAATAAAATGTCTTGACTTTCTAAAGGACATTGTAAACAAGGGAATGTGACAGTCCAGGGTTTTACCAGGATGCTTATTAATACCTTCATGAGTAAGTTTGCGTGTTTCTGCCTTTGGTCAGATGCTTCCAAATTCCATCCAACTCTCGCCTTTTTGCCCTCGTTACAGTCAGTGTGTTCTCAATCATGTGGATGGTCTTGTAGAAATGGAGAAAATAGCAGTATCTTTTTTTAAAAAACATTAAAAGAAAAAGATATGTATTTAATGTTAGTTTGCTCACTAATCAGGTTCTCAGAGTTTAAAGGAGTAGTTGATTATTAAAGCTTTTTCATTCTGTGACAGTCTGCATTTTTCTTCTAATTCAAGTTACCTATGAAATTAACATCACAGATTCATGATATTTTCATCTGTGAATGTTGTTTGAAGAATTCATTCTGTTGTAATTTAGGTAAAATGTACCAGTTAAATTTTGAGTAACATTCTCAAAGTTTACATTTTTGTTAGTTTTTGAAATATACTATAGAGATTTGCCTCATGGTAGTGGGAACATATGAGAGAGAGATGATTACATCAATCAATTATTTGAACAAAGATTGGGTATAGCTTACATGTGATTTTGTAATAACCCCTATTTCCAAGGAAAAATATTTGCACAGTACTTAGTCATTGTGTCATTTGTAGATAAATTGGTTAAGAGTGGGTCTTTGTTTTTATTGAAACATAGATTCTCTGTATAAATGTGGATTTTATGTATATCTTCTCAATGTATGTAACAAATGTCTCAAATCAAATAACTTGAGCAAAAATGATTTTTCCTATATTAAACATTAAATTTTCATTTAAACCACTAAAATTCCTCCTAGTTTGATCTGATGCCTCCATCCTCTTGCATACAGTGAGCAGAGCCCGGTACCTGAGATGGCCTCGCCCTGTGCCTTGCTGTTAGCACTCCCGACTGATGCGTGGACTGATTTTTGCTGCGGGCAGCACAGCACTTCCTGAGCCCTGTCAGTTACTGGGGTGCTGTCTGACTCGAAGTGTCCCCAGCAGACTGACATGGCCCGGGGAGAGACAGGGTTGGATCTGCCCCTCTCTGCTGCCGGGCTCCTGCAGTGTCTGGGGAGCAGGGAGGGGGGACAACCCAGGACCAGGGCAGTAGAGGAGGTTCAGGGGCATGCTGACCATCCAGCAGTGTGCCCTCCTACAGGTGTGACGTGGCCTGCCGTCATTTCTGAGAGGACTCATGTGCAGGGCAAAGATGTGGCCCACGCTGCTTCCTCAACCATGCGTTGAAGCCCAGGGCAGAGAGGCAGGGGGGGTCTCAGCACCTGCCTTGGGCGCTGAGAGCTCACAGTCCCGCTGGGGAGATGGTTCTAACAGGGCGAGACGTGTGGAGTGGAAAGGATGAAGGCCTGATTCTGTGTTCGTGACACACTTATGAGTCAGTTCTAGGAGCCTAGACTGGGAAGAGATTTGGGAGGGGACCAGTTGAGGGACACTGCTGCTCTCGATAAACTGTGCAGATTACCTGTGGTGAGGAGGGCAGACCAGTCTTGTTACTTTATAGTGCCATATTCAAGTTGAGTCCTTAAGTTGACTAATTAAATGGAAAATTGGTGCTGTAGTAATAACCATGGTCCCCTTGATAAGGCTGCACTCGATGGGGAGAGGGCAGGACTGATTTTGTGTGCGGGTTCTGGATCTGGCTTATCTTTGAATGTGGCCAGCGTTTAAGCCAGAGTTCAAGACCTTGACATCTCAAACCATTGTGTAAGCGGTTTGACATCAAGGGGTAAAAAATTCAGTGTCAGAGTGGGTCTCCAGGTGGTAAAAGCAGTGTATCTTGCAGGACGTTTCTCTGAGAAGTAGAGTGACCCACGGTGACCAGAGGGACCCTCTCAATATCAGGGATACATTCTTCTTCCGAAGGGACATTTGAAGGTCTCTGCTTCCTACTCAGAAATCTATAGTAAGTGAAACAGCAAAGCAGCTGCTCCTTGAAGGGTCTTTTCTTTCCATTGATGAGAGATGATCATCAGGGACAGAATGTATTCCTGATGTAGTCTTTGAAAACTTAAATTCTGTTCAGGATGTCTGCGTGTTGGGGTGCGACTAGTCCAACTCCACCTTGGTTCCTGGCTTAAACGTCCACTTTCTATATTAGTTCTTTAAGTGTTTTGTTGCTCCTCCCCACCCCTTCCTGCTGTTTGCACAGCTCCACTGGACACTCCCTCCAGGGGCCCAGCTCTTTGCCTTCTGTGTGGTGGGTGAGCATCTCATCGCAGCTGACGTCCAGCTTTGCTGTTAGACACGTGTTGCTGTAGAGGGGCACGTTCGCAGTTGAGATTCTGTCACCGGGATTCTCAGAGAGTTAGCAGGGCCAGTAGGTGTACTGATGTCCACCCGGGGGCCCTTGCTGTGGGGGAAGGAGTGTCCTCCCTTCTTACCTGGCGTGGCACTTCCAGAAATCGGATGTGATTAACACGGAGCCGTGTGAGGAGCGGATGAGACCTGGCTGGGCCGGGTGAGTCACTGAAGAAGCAGAAGTGAAAGCACATAGCAAATTGCTCTCCCTTTCCAGATGTGGTCAAGAATTCCTCTTAAATGGAAATCCACTGCTTCAAACTTTCATCAGATTAATTTTAATGAAAAGCTTGAATCAATACGAGGCAGCTCTGGTAACAAGTGCCCTCTCCTAAATAGCATTTTGTGAATATGGGTCCTGTACTTCTTGCTTGTAATGAGAGGGAAGAAGCGACTTTCTTGGTATTTACTCATTTTCTTCCTTTTTGGAAACCCAACCAGATTTTTCTGTTATTTTGATGGGTCACTAATATTGTGTACACCCATAGCAGAAATGGAAGTGAGCCGTCATGAAAGTGGAGACCTTCGAGAGTTTACAAAGCATCAAAGTGTAAATACTAGCTGTTGTAAAATATAGGGGTTAGAAACGTCAGTGTCTGTTCCCTGGCCTGCTCTCTGGGTGTCCACACCTGAGACTTGAGTGCTGAGAGGTGGGAGGCTTGCTCACACTCCGTCCTTGTGTGAACATGTCTGTGCTTTGAGTTAGCGGGCAGCGCCACCCCCTTGAAATGAGCTCATACTCGGAGCTCAGCCTGGACGTTTCCCAGCCTCTCCCTGTCCTGGCTCCTGGACAGCACAGGGCAGTTTCTGGACGGACTCTGGAGCATATGCTGCTAATGTCCTTGCTGCTGCTCTGCTGGGTGGGCATGGCCCCCTCTGCTTATTTCCAGTGGTGGGGGAAGGGGTATTGTTATAAGTAAATGCGTATCTAGGACCCAGGGAAGCTAGACGCCCAGCCTCGGAAAGGGCTCTCCGTGTGTGTCATGAACTCCATCAGCACCCACCTCCCACTGGCCTCCCTGCTGCCCAGTGGCGTCTCTGCCTCGCCTTACAACTGACAGCTGTGCTGCTCCAGCAACTTTCTTCACCTCATCTTACCGTTGGGCTGCTAAGGGCCTGATCACCTAGTTGCTTTTAAATTCACAGGAGAGAGACAGGAGCAGCAGGCGCTGGCATGCACACACAGACAGAGGTGGGTTGTCTGCCTGCAGGCCGGCAGGCTTGGGCTGATGTTCTGATGAGGCTACGGGTGATGCTCCCTGAGATCTGGGAAGCCTGTGAGGGGTTGCTCAGTGCTTTCTAGTGTGCTGTCTCATTAGTCCCCATGGTGTCCCTGTTACAGAGGAGGGAACGGCCCAGAGAGGTCCCCATATGCTCATGGTCACCTGAGTGCCCACTTGGCTCTTCTCTCTCCAGGCTCTTCATCCCTTTGTTACCCCAGGGGAAAGCATGTTCCCAAATCGAGCTAAAGCACCAGAGCCAGGGCTGTTGCTGAGGGGTTGTCTTCCTTTGGGTTTCCCACAAAGCTTCCCTCCTGGTCCCTAAGAGGATGGATTGTTTCTTTGTCACCCTCAGTGAGGATGGGACCTTGTTCCGAGGATGCTCTGGACGTTAGGTGATTCCAGCACACCTCGGCCTGACTTATTCGGAGACGTCTGACATCTCTCTGGGCTATGGCAGTGAGTGTCCCATCAGAGGGAGTGCCCTCTCCGTCATCGAGGACGAGGGAGATTTCCTGTACTGAGTCAAGTCCTCAGACTGGACCACCGCAGTCATGGGGTATGAGACAGGCCACCTGGGTGCCGCTGGCATGGCGTACCGCCACGAGATGCGTGTCACAGGGGATCTAATGTTAATGCCCTGGCTCGATATTCTGTTTATAACAATAGAAAACAAAATCCTCTACTCTGGGAAATCTACAGTCTTCCTTTTGGCAGCGTTTCACCATTTACTTGTTAATGAATGAACTGTATGAAAATATTTTATAAATTTTAAAGTACCAAACACATGGAAAAAAGCCCAAATGGTGTGTATTTCCTGGTTTGTATTATATTTACTTGCATGCTTATTGAGGGTCGTCACTCTGTATGTGGTTTGTTCTTCGAGGAGATCCTGTCCTGATTCTTCTTATCCCGTCACTGACGGATCAGCCGCTTCACCTGCAGTGGTGCTGACAGGTCACTTAAAGAGTCAACCTGGACTATGATGTCATCTTTCTGTAGGCCCTGGATTGACTGTAAATTATGTTTTCACTATTGTAATTAAGACTTGGAGACTACTAAGTTGTCTTTGAGGGGAAGAACCTGTCCCCTTCTCCAGAGGAATAATTAATTCTTAGAGTATATGGTTTTTGAAGAATTTACTGTAAGATAAAAGACTGGTATTTTATTCTTGCATTTATTAGTATTTAATCAAATGGAAAGTGCACTTTCAGCCTGGAAATCTTGGCTTCAGCCAGAAGATTAGACTGAATTATTGTTTAAAGAGTAAAAGGTATAGAATTATATGTTCGAGTTATCAAGCCACTGATAGGTCTTGGGCATAATGTAACTAATTGAGAACATAAAATTTCCTGCCTTGGGTTAATCATTCAGAAGTACTGTGCATTTCGGCGGCAGCTTGGCCTTGTTGTGGGGGTGGTGTCTGTCCCTCCAAGAGCCTCATGCCATCAAGGCCCTGCTGGTTCTTGGCCGCCAGAGCGTGTCTGGAACATAAGGCTCTTCTGTCTGGGACACTAAGTCATTAATCATGCCACGCTTCTCACCTGAGCATCCTGTACCGCAGAAACACTGTGAAACTTACTCCTTATTAGGGATGAGGGGGACTTAATTCTGTGATCCTCGGTGGTGCCCAGGTGTGGCACTTGGGCAGACTGGTGGCAGGCCTTTCAAGGCAGTACTTAAGAAATTCCAGAAAACTTTTGCAACCGCATCTTGGTTGAGGTGGTGGTGTCAAAGACAAGGGGGTGAGTGTCTGGGGAGTCACAGTGGTCTTATGATTTGTTCTTCAGCGGGTGGGAGAGAAGGGTCGGATGGCACAAAGCCAGGGACATTCTGATAACCACTATACATGCCTTTAGGTCAGGGGGTGGCAGACTTCTCTGAAATGGGCTGGTTGGTAAATATTTCTGTCTTTGTGGGCTGTATGGTCTCTGTCACAACTACTCACAAAAGCTGCCGTAGACAACACAAAATGAGCTTGGCTGCGTTCCAGGGAAACTGTATTTATGGACTCTGAAATTTGAATTTCATCTTATTGTCACATGTCATGAAATATTTTTCTTTTGATTTTTTTCAACCATGTAAAAACCATTCTGAAGCCACAGGCTATAAAGATCCCCATGGTGAGCCTGACCTGCCCTCCACCCCGCCAACCCTTGATGACCCCCAGGTGCTCAGGGGTCCCTGCTCCTCACCCCTGGATGCTTTGGTGTCCCTGCTCCTCAGCCCAGGTGTCCCTGTTCTGCACCCTCAGATCTTCTTAGCATTGAGCACCTTGCAGATTTTGCAGAATGAAGGAAATGCTGATGAAGGGAGTGGGGGTCTCTGCAGAGGCTGGGAGATGGAGAGAGGGAGTGAATGGGGGGGCGGGGGACAGGTTGCATCTGGGCCAGTGGAGGCTGGCAGCCTCCTTGCTTCAGGCGGCAGGGTGCTTCTGTAGGCTTCCCCGAAAGCTGGTCAGTTTGATTCACATTCCCGGTGTGGCTATGCTCTTCCTGGCCACCTGCCGAGCTCGCCGAGAATTTTTTGGAGCCTGTTTTGGAGTCTGGATCTAACAGTATTCACTGTACTGTATGAATCAGTGCAAACAAGGATTTGGTTATTGAACCTGGAGTCAGCGTTATAGTGATTCCCCCGTGTTAGCTAATTATATTGACACAAAAAGCGCAGGTTTTTAACGTGCAAATTTTATCTGTGCACAGGTGGAAAACTCTATTAACTGACTTTTTTCTCGTGGCTTGATTGCACACAGGCTTGTGATATTCTGATGCTCCAGGAGCTCTTCCTGGGTGAGGGTGATTTTGAATCACATCTTGCTGTCAGGAAGAGAAGTTTGAGAGGTCTTCACTTTACCACTGGACCCGGCTTGTCTAGGGTGTGTGTTCTTTGGAGTTCTGCAGTGACCTCGGAAGGAGTCCGTCCTGCCCTGCTTTGAACAGGGGTCTCTGGGCTTTGGCTGCTTTGCCTAATTGAAAAAGTTGATGTTTCCCTCAGATCTTCCCGCGTGTGCTAACATGTTACCTCTTCTCTAAGAAGTCAGTTAAACTTTGCTCAACTGTGGAGGCCTGTAAAGATTGAGGTTCTTTTTTGCCGTGACATATTTAAGCTGAAGCTTCTCAAGACATCACGGTTTTAAGAACTGACATCTCATTTTGAGCACCAGCCTGCCACCCTCTTTACCTCTTTCATGACAGACTGTCACTTGTCGCCCAGGCCTTGGTGCCTGAAGTGCTAGAACATTTCCACGTTGTGAGGAATGTGCTGTTGGCAGGATGAGATGCAGGCCCTGTGAGGGGGCCTTGCTGGCATGTGGCTCTGAGAACCGGACAGCAGGATCGGGCAGGGAGGAGGTGAACCTACCACGCACTCTGTCCCCGGCCCAGGGTGGCTGCAGCTCTCCTGGTGAGTGAGGGCCCGCCTGGTGCTGCCTCCCATTAGCCCTGGGCAGAGACCCCCAGCATTTTGACTGGGGAAAGAAGCGGGCAGGAGAGTGATTTCTGCCCAATTAAGGATTCTTTGCTGCTTTTCCAAACCCTGCTCAAATGTCTGTCGATACACAGTTCTTATTTTGCCGTCTGGATGTAGGCTCCCTGCAGGTCTGGGCTTCGTTCGTTTTTGTGACCTGGTTTCCTCTCATCATCCGGGGAGCTGGTCTTTGGCTGACAGAGTGACATCTTTGTTCTTAAAGAATATTTTATCCTTCACGAAGTACTCAAACTTTTTATTTCAGTGAGTTGCCAAAAAAGGCGTGAAGCAGAGTAACCTGAGCACACAACGCCTTGGAGCACCACTTCCCGGTCGGTGGCCCCAAGTACCTCTCAGAGCGAGGGCAGCTCCTGAGGGTCTGGGAGCCCCGCAACTGGGAAACCTATTTGAAGTCTCCTCGTTTACCTTAACAAAATTGTGGTTTTTCCCATTTTATCCCTGTTTTCCTCCACGAAATTAATTAGCTGGGACATGCGTAGTGTTTAGCCTGTGGTTGTGCTGCGCCGGCCCACTCCTGCGTACCCTGTGGGCGCACACTCAGGTGTGGGCATGCTTCTGACACCGGGACCTTCCATTTCCTGGGAAGTCTGTAGATATGACTCTGGTCTACAGTGGCACAGTTAGGAGGCAGGCTTTTTATGGAAGCTTTTAAAGAAATAGGTGATAGTTACTAACAAGCTTTCAAAAAGACCTTTATAGGCCTTACTGCAGTGTTCTGATACCACGCACTCGTTTTTGGCTAGATCCAGAGATATTTTAGATAAACACTTGGAATGGATATGTGAGTAGTTATCACCTGGAAGTATTTTTCAGAAGTGCTTGAAGTTCCAGGAGATTTCAGGAGCAGTTCGTTAAACTGTACACACTGTATAAGGTTTTTGTGCTTTTCTCTCTCTGTATCTGTTTACACACAGGCAACAGTTGGTATTCTAACTGCTCCTCAGCGAGCTACTGTGTGACTGCACCGATTCAGACCAGGGTTGGAGCTCCAGGACAGAAAGCAGTTACCTTCCTGCATCGCTCATGCTTAGTTTGATAATATGAACAAAAACGAAAAGTTTGGAAAGGAAAGCTGAGTTGTATTTTAAGCATAATTTTCAAACGTAGACACTGCCTGTTTTTATCTAGAAATGATTGTTTTGAAGACCGGTGAACAGATTTCCTCAGATGTCCTTCTATGTCTCAGCCCTGACGGGCAGGCACTTGCACGTCTGTCGTATAATGTGCTGCGTGGAGGGCACCCTTTAGACGACTTGTGAATGCTGAGCGCTTTAAATAAGACGCGCCTGTGTGCAGGGCTGCCAGGGCCCGTGCTCCATCCTGGCCCTGCCTCCCCGGGGCACATCGTTAATCAGGAAGGTGCTCTGTCATGCAGGGCAGCCTCCAGTGAGAGTCATAAAGAAGGCCCACGTCGTGTTCCCGCCAGATCCCAGATCCTGGACACCTATGTGGAAGCTCAGAACATGAGCAGAACACAGTATTTATGGGATTCCCGTACAAGCAATCTTTTAATTTGAAAGCCTAGTTATGTAATTCTAATGCAGAGTTTTTCCTCCATTTGTGTATGCATGTAGCTGGGTTCACAGAAATAGCAACAAACAAGGAAAATCATTTCCCTTACATGTCAGGGCCATGACAGGAGGCTTTGGAGTAATTCTTTTTTTAGGAATTGCTTTTTTAAACAATTTTTTAAAACAATAAACTTTGTTTTAGAGCAGTTTTAGGATCACAGCAAAATTGAGCTGAAGGTACAGAGATTTCCCATATACCACCCTGCCCCCCCATGCACAGCCTCCCCCACTATCAGCATTCCTCACTGGAGTGGCACATTTTTCCACAGTTGATATTAGGGTTCATTCTTGTTGTTGTGCATTCTGTGGGTTTGGACAGATGTCTAGTGATGTATATCCACCCTTGTAGTATCATACAGAATCACTGCCCTAAACGTCCTCTGTGATCCCCTGTTCATCCCTCCCCCTCTCCCAACCCCTGGCAACCCCTGGTCTTTTGTTTTACTGTCTCCATAGTTTTGCCTTTCCCAGAATGTCATGGAGTTGGAATCTTGCAGTGTGTAGCCTTTTCAGATTGGCTTCTTTCACTTGGTAATATGTATTTAAGTTTCCTCCATGTCTTTTCATGGCTTGAGAGCTCATTTTTTGTTAGCACTGAATAACATTCCATTGTCTGGATGGACAATGGAATGTTTATCCGTTCATCTTCTTAAGGACATCTTGCTTGCTTCTGAGTTTTGGCAATTGTGAATAAAGCTGCTCTAAACATCATCTCCAAGTTTTTGTGTGGACATGGAGTATTATTTCGCACAACCTTTGGATCTGTTCTGAGTTTGACATACCAGCTAGCAGTGCTAGTGTTTTGTGTGGTAAAATCTCTTCTATCTACTTGAACCCGTTTTGGCTGTTAGAGCATAAGAAATTGAGCCATACTTGGGCTGTACTTTTGTTGAAAGCGACCCAGCAAAATTTGACTGGGGAGACCCAGCATAGGGCACGATGGGCTGGGTCTTAGCCGCTGACCTTGCCTTCTTCCCAGTTTTCCTTCCGGACTGTTAGACTTCGCGAGGAACAATCCCATCATGCATTTCCTCTCCGACCCTCCCACAGCCGGGTTTGTTTGTTTATTTCTGTGAGGAAGATCAGCCGTGAGCTAGCATCCATGCCAATCCTCCTCTTTTTCCTGAGGAAGACTGGCCCCAGGCTAACATCCGTGCCCATCTTCCTCCACTTTATATGGGATGCCGCCACAGCATGGCCGGACAAGCGGTGCCTGGGTGCGCGCCCAGGATCCGAACCCGGGCGCCAGCAGCGGGGCGTGCGCACTTAACCGCTGCGCCACGGGGCCGGCCCGCACAGCCAGGTTTATTATGAGGTGATAGGTATGAAGTATTTTCTCTCTTCTAGGGTTTTGACACGTGTGTTTTTTCTAATTAAGCTGTCCTCATGCCTGATTGTTAGGTGGGCCAATCTTGAGTGCTGAGGACAAAGGGTGCTTCCCTGATGCTTGTTTCTTATTCTCTGTTCAGCAGGGCGATTGCAGAATTAGTTTTCATTTCATACTGGTATTGTTGGTGTTATGAGGCAGCCAGACACGGCTGCTCCCCTCTCACGGTCCATCCTTGTGTCAGCCGAGCTCCCACTTCACACGTGCAGCTGTGGAAGCACCACGGCCCGGGTGACGGGGCTGCTCTGGGAAGGCTTGGAGCTCAGCCTGGGAGCCGAGTGCCCGCTGACTGTGGGTGGACTCCTTGGGCAGACAACAAAAGCAAAGATCTGGGTGCCTTGTTTGTGAACTGGTTATAAGAAGGCAGGCGATTTCTTCCTTGAGCCTCTTTCTGGGCATTTTCATTGATTAGGATACTGATACTGGAAATGGTTCAAGTGAATATAGGACTGCCAAGATGGTTCTGGAAGGACAGTTTTTAGACAGCTGTGGCTGGCCTGGAAAACTGCAGGTAATGGAGAAGGAAGACAGTTTCTGTCTCTGGGTTTCTTGCTTTTAATACAGTGGGAACCCAGCCTCTGGCACCAACTGCTTAATTCAGAACATTGTTATTTAAACGCCATTCACGTTAAAAGGGAGATGAAAGGAAATTCACTTCATTTTTTTCAGTGGTCTCCAAATAGGCATGAAAAATCAGTTTTCTTCTGCCACCAATTAATGTCAGCCACTCTTGTGGCTTTAGGTGGATGCCATGACGATGATGTAGGGAGCTGGCCCGTCAGGCTCTGCGGTGCTGCCAGGCTGTGGGTGGAGGCTTTGTGCTGCGTGAGAGTGGGGCGTGGGACACTGGCTGTTTAATCCCTGCATGGCCTAAATGCAGCCCACGGTGTAGGCCTCATGAAAGCCGGTTAGCAGACAGTACGTGGGTCCAGTTCTGCGGGAGGCTACGGGTCTCCGTGAAGACCAGCGGGTTTCAGTGTGTGAGCAGGCCCCTGCTGCTGCTGCTAGTAAGTAGTCAAAACTAGGTTGTTCGAGCCTCCACAGGACCATCTAGTGTAATTCCGAAACACCGAGACATTGGGTTTGGCAGGTTCGAAGCTGGTTGGTTTGGGTTTTGGTGATGGCACCGTTCCCTCTCCCTCTCCTGTGCTTCCCCCCACGGCCTGCTCCAGGGGAAGCCCTGTAGGTTCCAGGTGACCCCAGGGCTGCTGGGAAGAAAGGCCTGAGGGTCGTAGGACAGCCCTGTTTTATGCGACTGTAAACCTCGTGCTCAGGAGGAATAGATGGTTGGGTTTTTAAATTTTCCCTCCTCTTTCTGGCTTGGAAAGCTGCATAGCATACCCTTAGCTGGAGCCAAGTCTGTTCCTGAGCCCGAGGACCTGTGCACACCCGTAACCCTGTCCCTCGTGGATGTGGTCACATGTCCAAACAGCATGCCCTTTCTCTGTTCTTGACGTTCTTGGGGTCGTCAGTGTCACCGTTTGCCCTCCCACTCCCATCCCTGACTCTTGGCCCTCACCACTCCCGGAGCTGCCGCAGCAGGCTCCACTCAGACACGGGTCCTCTTCCTCCTGTGACCCAGGCCACTTTCTTCAGTTCCCCAAATGCCCTGTGCTCGCTCTAGCACCTGTCTGCCACAGTCTCTCCCCTCCTTTACCCCTCCCCCAGAAAACACCTACTTGCCCTCCTATGTTGGCACCTCCTCCAGGAAGCCTTCTTGGACTCCTCAGGCCATCAGACCCTCCAGCTACTGGTTCTCATTAATCCTGGAGTTCTTCCGAGTCCTTACTTGAGGTAGAATTGAGTCATTCATATAATTAGCTCATTCTTTCAACAAGTATTTCCTGAGCACCTACAATGTTGGGGCACCATTTTAAGTTCTGGCATATAGCGGTAGATCAGTTAGGACTAGTCCAGGTTGAAGAAAACAGGAATTCCTCCTCAGAACACTGGCTTGAAACAAACAGGGCTTTCTTGCTCTCACACGAGTAGCAGTCTGGTGGTAGACGGCACTGGTGTGGTCGTGGCTCACAGGGTAAGGGCCAGGGGCTCTCTGGTCTCTTGGCCTTTCCCTCATGTTCACCAGATGGTTGCCACAGCTCCAGGCATCACATCTGCCACATCAAGGAAGGAAGACAGGGGAGGAGACGGTGCCAGCTACATATGATTTTTTTTTTTTTTTTTTTTTTTTAGTAAAACAAGAACTTTCAGCAGACTTCTACTTACTCATTGGCCAGAGTTGTCACATAACATTTGCTACCTGTATTGGAGCTTATGTTCTAGTGAAGGCAACACAGAGCAAATAAACACAATACACCTAATGTAATTTCATGTGACATAAGAGTTAGAAAGGGAAAGAAGGGAGGGAAGAGGTGGACTATTTTGGTAGGGTTTCTCTGAGAAGGTGACATTTGAGGGGTATGAGTTAGGTGACAGAGGCCACTGTGCAGAAACATGAGGGAGAGGCGTTTCAGGGAGCATGAGCAGTAGGTGCAAAGGTCCTGAGGCAAGAGTGACACTCATGTTTGAGCAGCAGCAGGAGTAGTGTGATTCAGGGTCCTGGTCAGAGACAAGGTCGGCAGGAAGGGAGGGTGCCATCGTGCTGGGGCTGTTCAGGTCTGTATGTAGGGACTTGATTCTCATTGTGACGGGAACAAGGAGATATGATCTGATTTGCTTTCAAATGTCTTCATTTTATACAACTCCCCCCCTTTTTTTTTTTGTGAGGAAGATTAGCCCTGAGCTAACATCTGTTGCCAATCCTACTCTTTTTGCTGTGGAAGACTGGCCGTGGGCTAACATCCATGCCCATCTTCCTCTATTCTGTATATGGCACGCCGCCACAGCATGGCTTGATAAACGGTGCATAGGTCCACCCCTGGGATCTGAACCCACAAACCCCGGGCCACCAAAACGGAGCACACGAACTTAACCGGTGTGCCACTGAGCCGGCCCCTACTACCCTTTTTTTAACTCAAAAAATTTTCATACCTTGGAGTTTGTATTTTACTCAGGAAAGTGTTAACAGTCCTTTGTTTTACAGGCAGCAGATTATGAGACAATGACAAATGTAGGACATTTGCGATCATTGTTTGTCCTTTGTCACGTTGGATTTTAACAATTTTTTCTGCTTGTGAAAAGAACTCAAGTTTACTGTAGAAAACTCAGAAAATGCTGGTAACAAGAAATATTTTAAATTGTCCTACTCTATCTATATTGATTTTTTAAAATCAGCTTTTATTTTGGAATACTTTTAGATTTATTGAAAGTTTTTGCAAAGATGACTCAGCGTGATTTGGTTTTTGGGTCGTTTCCCCTGGTAGACCGTACCGTCTTGGCCCAGTTTCCAGCGCCTCAGCCCAGTGGCTAATGCATGAGGGCGCTCGGGTATTTGTCCAACTTCTCTTCGTTGTTATTATTTGTTGCTCATTGTTAGTCTGCCTTCTGCCTCTGTGCCGGGGGAGTCCTCGTCATCCTCGGGGGATTGTTTCCACGGCCTCCTCGACCGCTCCCTCCCGCTGCTTCCGCCCATTCTCCGCATGGCTGCTGGAGGGAGGGAGCCTTCGAAAAGGCAAACCTGGCGGATTCTGCCTTGTTGAAAGCTCTGGTCTTCTCAGGGACAAGCCAGACTCCATGACCGGCCTGACGTGGGTGTGTTGTGGGGTCTGAGCTGGCCCCACACTGCTCTCTGGAGCCCGGGCCTCGCCACCGGCCTCCCAGGTCCCCGCTCCTCTGCCTGAGCTTCTTGCCTGGCCAGCTCCTTCCCAGCCGTCAGGTCTCTGTCTCGATGTCATCTTCTCCAAAAATCCTTGCCTGTCCCCTCTCCCCCACACTGTGGCCCTGCTCCCCCTTAGCGGCCGCCCTCCCTGCCTGGCAGTGGCCTCCCTGTGAGTCCTGCAAGGCCGCCGGGAGCCTGCTTGGCCCTGGACCTGGTGCTGGGCTGTGAATACTCTGGAGTTGCCGAGAGCCAGCGTCCTCCCTGGGCCTTGTCCCTGTCTTGGCTCGCTTCTTGGGGTCGAGCTCGTTCCTTCTCTGGCGAAGCTGGTGCAGATCCTGGCGGGACTTCATTGTTGGACCCCGATGGTGGGTTGGTCTCTGGAACATGGGGACGTCGCGGGGGTGGGTGTTGGTCAGGGTCTGTGGTACCCACGTGGCTTAGAACTCTGCCGGCTTCTTTGTGCCCCCGTCGATCGTGGCCAGCACCCTGTGCGTTTGGCCTTGTTCCCTTCCGGCGGTGCCTCCCGCCAGCCTGTGGTGGGACGCTCTGGCTCCCTGATGCATCGCCTGCTGTTGAAGCCTCACTCTTCTTCCCACCTGGTTTCTAACCTCTGTGGGTCCCTCCTGGCATCTGCGACACCCCCATCTAGTCTGCAGGCATCCCTGCACCCCTCTGCTGGCCTGCCGGCTCCGCGGGACTTGTAGCACACGTGTGCTGTAACACACTTGTATTTCAGCGCTGGGCTTCCCGTCAGCATGCACTGCCTGCAATGTGGAAGGGCCCAGGGCTCCTGTCCCGGGGCCACACTATCCATTACATGTCAGGACTCAGTATTCAGCTGATTGTCACTTTTGCCTGTGGAAGGACTCCGTGCCACGTGTCCTGGTTGTCTGTAGGAAAGAAGGTTGTGCGCAGGTTTCTGTGGAGTCTCAAATTCCATTTCGGGCAGGGTTGATATAAAATTGTGTTAAAATTACTCCACTTTTCTTTTTTGGCAAAGTAGTAGTCGGTGGGTTATGATGATTATCTTTGGCTAGCAGTGGTTCTGCTAATGGGCTTAAAAACCCAGAGGCACTAGTGAAAGTACAGCCCAGCCAGGCCGTGTCCAGAAGGAGCTGGGCTGTGGGTACCAGGCCTAGTCTCGGGGGACGTGGTTCCAGCAGATCCTCACAGTCAGGGAAGGTGAAGTGGGGTTTGATTTCAATCCTGTTTAACCGATAGGGAAATCTGAGGAGCTCACTTTCTCAGACTTCGCACAGCTCAGTGAACAGCTGGGTGGATATGGCCGGAAGTGGCATATGCCGCTCAGTCAGGACTCAGTCAGGTTTTGAGCTCGCCGGTTAGCCCCGTGATGGACTGACTGCCCTTTGTGGGTTCTTGGCGTGATTTGGATGGTCCTGCCCCTGCTTTGTGTTGATTGACTCAGGGTGATCTGTGACTTCAGGCGGCCGTGCAGGTCAGCGGAGCTGGTTCTTAATGCCATGAGCACAGTTGCACCTTGAACGTGAGTGTAGACCAGGCCGACCGGGGACAGTGCCACGTTGCTGGGTGTGCGGACATGCTGGTGCTGGTCAGGGGGCAGCATGGTGGGTTCAGCGGTGGGCAGGCTGAGCTTCAGAGTCCTATCGGTCCAGTTCACAAATGTGGGAGCTTGAGTGCTTGGGCGTTGTTTGGGTCAGAGCCCTTCCGGTCAGGCCACACCAGGGTTGGCTGGCAGCCCTTTCTCACTGCATCCCAGGCTGACAGCCTCCGAAGTTCAGCCGTCCTGCCTGTTGTTCAGAGCCCAGCTGCCGGGACGACGCTTGGTAATGTGCAAGGCCCTTCCCCCCGAGGAAGGAGCGGGCCTGAGCTCTCCAGAGACTGCTCCTCGCTCCCACATGGGGACTCTGACATGGGGACCCTCATGGCTCTGTGCCCTCAGCCACTTTCACTGCCCTACTGCTGACCTGCTCCCAGCTCTCCTCTGCACAGTCAGATGTGTCTTCCTCTCCATTCCTTGGAGAAGGGGTCAGGGTTCGGTGCATCCTGTGCAGGATGGAGGTCCTTTCCCCGGGGGCAGGAGTGCCTGGCCTACCCTGCCCATTCTCGCTGTCCCTGTGTTCTCCAGTTGGCCTCCCAGAATAGCTTGGTGAGTTTGGTGGAGTCAGTAGTAGTGTTCCTATTTTATTGATGAGAAGATTGAGGCCTGGGTAGGGGAGTGGACATCTAATGCTCAGTCCTTCTCCTGGCTGCGGCGGTTGTGCCAATCTGAATTTCTGCAGCAGTGCTGTGACCACGTCCTCCCTCGGGGGCTGACAGGAGCAAAGCCCTCCTCTCCTGGCAGCTGTCCCTTTGCCCCACTGCTTGGCACAGGCACATGCTGGCCTGGCCCTTGCGCTGGCTCTGGGCTCCTGTCTGGGCCTTGAATTGGGGCAAGTGACATGGAGGCTGGGCAGCAGGGAATTGACAGTGGCCGTAACATCCTGTTTCTAGGGTCATTAGTGGCAACAGTGCCCGCTGCGTGCCTGCTCCCTGGTTGTCCCCACAGATGTTTCCTGAGGCTCCATTTTGGCTGTGCTTGGACTGTGGCCAGTCTTGGTTCCTACAGTTTTCTGAGTCTGCTTCTCTAGCCTTCCCAGAAGTTCTGTGAGTTATGGAACAGCCTTTCAGTAAATTGCTTTTGTGCTTAAATTAGCCAGCATCAGTTTCTGATGCTTCCATTAGGAGCCCTGCCTGAGACGGGGGCTCATTGTGTTTCATGCTCCAGGTCTGAGGCCTGAGGCAGGGCTCCGGAGCCCGGATCTGCTGAGAAACAGTCTTCAGCCTGACGGAGGCCAGTGCTTCTGAGCAGGGGCTGGGTAGGAGACATGGTCCCTGGTGAACACATTTGTGAGAGCGAGGTAAACAGACGTAAGCTGATTTCTACTGCAGGACTGCTCGGAGCTTTTCACATGCTGACGTGCAGGGTGGGTTTCCCAGGAGGGGATAGGGCGACCAGGCTTCTCACTGTGCCCTCAGAACTGTTCTCTCAGTGGTCTTCTGGAACACACTTTGGGAAATGCTATGCTGGACTCTTGGCCTGGATGGTGGGCATGCTGATCATCTGGTTCACACATGTTTGATAAGCCCCTTACATGTGTGATATGCCTGCCTTCAGGGGGACCCTGACTCATGGCAGCAGCCTCCCTGCCCCAGCATCTACCAGCGGCTCAGCGTGATGGGAAGTGTCCACAGATGTGAGGGGTGGGGGACAGCAGTTGGTTCTGCTCCAAGAAATGAGGGATGGCCCTCGGGGCTGGGAGAAGGGGTGGCCATCTGCTTTTGAAGGGGGGTCAGGATTTTGATGCTGTTGGATACGATTTTGGGGAGGAGAGCGGAGCACTCTGGGTGACAAGACCAAAGGCCAAGGGCGTTTGGTTAAAATGTTGATTGTGGCAGGGATAACCATAATCCCAAGTCCTTCTGGGACTTTCCCGCTAATCTTGGTGCGGACCCTGCAATTGAGGTATCATATATCCTACAGAGAGGAGCACTTGTGGCTCAGAGTTTAGGTGTGACTTGCTCCAAGTGACAGGCCGTGGGTGGGGGCCCCTGTCTGCTCCTTCTGCCTCTCTGGCTGGTGTGATCCCTGCCCCGCGTGGTGAAGTGGAGAAGGTGGGAAGACTTGCGCCGTGTTTATCCCTCAGGCAGGGGGGAGCCGTGGAAAGTGGGACGTTCAAGGACTGTGATGTGTCAGAGCGTCTCTGATGTCAGGTGGACATCTGAGAAGGTTTCCCAGCAAAACCCTGTGTCCACTCACTGGGAACTGGAGAGGAGTCCATTCAGACCCCTGTCAATAGGCACAGAAAAGGGGATGTTGAACAGGGCGGCTCTGGAGCTGGGGGGCTTAGAATGGAACCTTGGGAGTGCGCTCACGCCTCGTGTGGTGTGGGAATGTGCTGGACCTCCTCAGGGGATAGAAATGTACCTCTCTCCTGTGGCTGCGGGAAGACAGAGGAGGGGATCAGTGTGGTGTTAGGAGCAGAGGAAGGCACAGAGAAGGGACAAGAACCTGGGGTGGGGTTGATGGAGGGTGGGTTGAGGTTTCTCAGTGAAGCAGACACCAGACTGCATGATGCTGGCTGGGCGGGCAGGGAGAGGACAGTCCAGCTGAGGGGACCATGGTGTCAAGGCCTAGAGACTCGAAGCTGTGCTGTATGTGAGGGGCGCCCATGGGCTTGGGGCTGCTGGATTTGGGGGTTGAAGTAGGAAGGGAGTGAGTGTGTGGACCTTGGAGGGCTGGCAGACCCTTTCTGTAGAGGGCCACATGGTAAGTGTTTCAGGGCCATGTTGTCCCTGTCACAGCTAATCAGCTCTGCCACTGGAGCTTGAAGGCAGCCACAGCCAGTATGCAGAGAAATGATCATGGCTGCGTCCCAGTAAAACTTTACAATAGCAGGTGGTGGGCTGGGCTCGGCCTGGGCTGCAGTTTGCTGACTGCTGTAGCCCCTTCACGTGGTCAGCAGTTGATCTGTTTTTCGGGGTCAGGGCATTTGGAGTGGGAGGAGCCCACGTGTAAGGGGGGCCCTGAGAAGTCCTTCCTCTTGTAGGTGAGAGTTGATGAGGGTCTCTGGGAGGACCTGGTGGAAATGAGAGAGCTGGAAATGGTAAGAGCGCATGCTTAATGAGCTGCAGGTGTGTGAGGGGGACAGGTGAGGGTGCTGAGAAGGAAGGAGAGTTCCTGGGGAAAATCCTGGTTTTGGGTGGGGGCAGGGATGGATGGTAGTGCCGTTCACTGAAATGCTGTAGAGAAGAGAATGTTTGCAGGGGTGCAGCTTGGACAAGTTCATTTGAGGTTCCTCTAGGACAGAGACGCAGAGACGACAAGTAAGGAGTCCGACTGGTGGTCAGGAGCTTGAGGGGAGGCCTCGCGTGGGGGAGGCTTCTGCTGTTCCAGTTGGTGGTTGTAGGCAGAGCTCCGGGAGTGGGGCGCTTCCTCTGGATGCTGGCAGGCCCCAAGAAGGAGTTCCGGGGAGAGGAGGAGACCGAGGGGCTCCCTCTCTTGATTTCCTGTCGTCTTGCCTCCCCGGGTCAGAGGGCGTTTTATAAAACGTCGGTTTGCCTGAACCCCATTGCTGGCTCTGCACAGCTGCTAGTGTGTCTGTTCTTTTCTGTGACCAAAATTAATATCTATTGCAATTAACATGGAAGGATACATCACAGGATAGCTTTTGTACATTTGTACGTTTCTTTGAATATAAATAAAATACATATGCTTCCCAAAACACAGGAGTTTTATTCCAACATGCGTATGCTTCTCTGACCACTCGCACACACGGGCCGCTGTGTAAGTGCTAGGTTGAATCTCAGTCCATTTCTGTAATTCATTTCATAATGCTTTATTTTTAAATGTTCTCTAGTCAAAATATCAAATGGCTTGTCTTCAATTTTCATTGAGAAAGTTGCCTGGTAATTTATTTTATTAAAGCAAGGTCAGCTTGGTTTTAGGTACTATTTAAACGGAGCTCTTACTTTAGCTTCCTTCAACTATGTGTCGATTGACGACAAATGAGAGAGTAGGGAGGTAGTACTTTAAGGAAGTAAAAGGAGAATGTACTGTGCTCTAGGTAATTATGGTAATATTCTGTCTTCAAAGTAACTAGAGTGTAAAAATGACACATTATTGATTAAATTCCAAGCACGGGGAAAAAACTTTGGAAGATGTTTTATGTCTTAAATAACTGGTGCTTCTGTTGTGCTTTAAAAGTGACCAAACTTTCACATATACTTTATTTGCTTTAAAATTTTTTTCTCTTTAGGTACTTGGGAGAATGGACAAAGTCTGTGAGATGAAATACAAAATGATGTACAGCCCTCTGGGGAAGATCGAGATCTCTGGTTGTGAGCAGGGCCTGCATGGGATTAAGCTGCACGGCAGGAAGAGCCCCGACACTGAGTGAGTGAGAGTCCTTGACACCCCTGTGTGGTGTCTGTGCAAAGCAACAGAAAGAACTAGTACAGTTTCTGCTTGTTTTCTGTTGATCACAGGGTAACACGTAGACGTACGCTACCAGTGACAGAAATTAGCATCCCTCTAAAATGGTCGTGCCGAGACTTCCCACTGTCGGCCTCTGTGCTTGCTGCCCAGGAGTCCCCCACCTTCCATTAGCCCCAGGGACGTAACCTTTGATTAGTAGCTCCAAGGCATTTCATTATTGTATACACTTACAAAGGAGTTGATCATGAGCATTCAACAAATGTGAGGTGGGAATGTCTCTGGAAATTTAGTGACAGGGAGATGCTAGCCTTATCTTGATTTTTAAATCAGGACCAGTTCATCAAAGTCTGCCAGGTGAGTTTTGTCCTAAAGTCCTGGAACTGCTTCATCAGGAGCTCTCCGGGCCTCTTAGAGGTGTTGTCGGACTGTCGGTGTGTGTGCAGCTGAGAAGGGGGATAAAATTCCCTTATTAGCGTGACATTAGGGCATTGCCAAGTCTAACAGGACACAGATTCTCTCTTTTTTTGAACCATCTCAACTGTATTTCTCTAATTGTAAAAACATGAAAAATTTAAGCACTCCTCAATGTTTTGTCCTGAAATGTAACATTTAATTTCCTCCATTCATTGATTGTGAGTAGTTGTATTAAAATTGCAGTTCTCGTTATTTCTGACAGAAGAGGAAAAAAACACCCACTCCTATGCTCAGTGTTCGTCTTAACTGGCTAATAAACACAATGGCAAGACCATTGGATAAAGAAAATACATAAGAAACATAAAAATTGATTTTAATGGACCCCTGTCAGAGACAGCCATAATGAGCACAAGTGCAGTAATAAATACCAGTTTTCGCCTCCACGTCGAGACTTTTCCTGTAGAGCTGCATGTTACAATCAATAGTCTTTTTTAAGGCCAAAAAATAAGCAAACCTTTGAACTGTATGAATACACTCTTCTCTAGTTCTATGAGAACCATCTGGCTGTAGTCTTTAGAAATCGCAGGCACCAAATAATTTATAGGGGAAAATGTCATTTTGTCTTTTAGCATGTTCAGTTGCACAATAAATCATGGAAATTATGTGTTGAATTTTTTTTTGTTTAAAAAAAGTGAATTTAGGGAAGAAAAGTGAAAAAAAAAGCATTATGAGAGATGTTTAGTTAAATGCCCATTATAGATTATGAGAACAGAGTGAAGGTGAGGCTTAATTTTGAGTTTCTACTTTCTGAATCAGATTAGGATTAGATTCAGCTGTGAAAAACACAGTCCTCCAAATCATGGCTTCAATAAAACACAGCTGATTTCTCATGAAAAAGCACATAGATAAGCATGGAGGCTGGGTCTGCTGGCTTGATGGTCATTGGAAATTTGGCCGCCTTCCAGCTTTCCTCGCATCTCCAGGCTGTGGCCCTTGTCCTGTGCTGCAGGCCAGCCTTTGGGGCCCGAGCTGTCAGGCTCCCATTCCAAACAGTAGATAGAGGAGAAAGGAGGGAATGCCACCTCCCTTTCCAGAAGCGGCGTCTGACATTTTCATCTCCTTGGCTAGAACTGTCACATGACCACACCTAGCTGGAAGATGTGGTATGTTGTCAAATGTTGGCTAAAATTAGGGATTCTGTGTGTAAGGAAGAAGTGGGAAATGGATTTTGTGGGGGCAACCAGCAGTCTCTGTTTTTGTGCATATATGGTTAATTTTTGGAAGGGACGCTTAAAAGTTACAGAATAGCATAAAATTACCTGTCTGAATTCTCAGAATTAGCAATTTTTATCTTTTCACTTAAATTGAGTTAAAAGTTACAATGAAGTTCAGATTTTAAGTGTACAATGAGTTTTGATAAATGTGTACAATTGTATAACCATCAACCGAAACCAACATACAGAATGCTCCAGAAAGTTCCTTTGCACTCCCTTTTGGTCAATCCCCACTCCCTCTTGGCAGCCACTGTTCTGATTTCTATCATGATGGATTAATTTTGCTAGTTCTTGAATTTTGTGTAAATGGAGCCTTACAACATACACTCTTTTTTGTATTGAATTCTTCTGTTCATGAGGGTCACCCATGCTCTGTGCATCAGTAAGTAGTTCATTCTTGGTGTTGAGTCGTTTATTGTATGAACACACCACAATTTGTTTATCCGTTCTCCTGTTGATGGACATTGGAGTTGTCAAGTTTTTGGCTGCCCTGTGTAAAACTGCTGTGAATATTTGTGTTCAAGCCTCTTTGTGGACATACGTTTTCATTTCTCTTGAGTAAATTTCTAAGGGTGGAATTGCTGGATTGCATGGCAAATGTATGTTTAACCTTATAAGAAATTGCCAAAACTTTTCCCAAAGTTGAACCATTTTACATTTCCACCAGCAGTATATGCGAGTTTCAGTTGCTCTGCCCTCTCACCAGGCTTGGTGTGTTAGTTTTTACAGTTTTGGCTGTTCTGGTGGGTATGAAGTGTTACTTCATTTTGCTTTCTTAGCCCTTTCTTGATGACTTATTTTGGACATCTTGTTGACCATTTCATTGTGAAACGTCTACACAAGTCTTCTGCCCATTTTTAATTGGTGTCATCTTGTTTTTTATCATCTATTTGTGGTTCTGGTTACAAGTTGTTTATGAGATATATGTATTGTGATTATTTTCACGTAGTTGGAGGATTGTGTTTTTATTTTTCTGATAGTGTCTTTTAATGAGTAGAAGTTCTTTTGAGGAAGTCCTACTTAATGTTTTCTTTATGTTTAGCATTTTTTGTGTCTGTAAGAAATATTTGCCTACGGTAATTTCATAAATATATTTTCCTACAAATTCTTTTAAAAGCTTTATAATTTTAGCCTTTTATGTTTAGATGTTTAGACACATGATCCGTCATCTTGCATTATCTTGTTGTGAGATACTCAATTTTTTCCAGAGTTACTTAGTTTCAGCATCATTTGGGGAAAAAAAAAATGCCTTTCTTCATCAAATTCTCTTGGTACCTTTGTCAAATTGACATGTGTGGGTCAGACATGTCTGGACACTCTTGTTAAAGTGATATCCATCTATTCTATGCTAGAACCATGCTGGCTTAATTATGTAGCTTTACGATAAGTCTTGAATTAAGGTAATGTGAGTCTTCCACTTTTTTTTTTTTCAATTAAAAATTTGTTTTGGCTTCCAGGTCTTTTAATTTTCAGCATTACTTTTAGAATCAAGGTGTCAGTTTCTGCAAAAATGCTGATTTGGGTTTTGATTGGGAGTTCATTGAATCTATGTATCAACTTTAGAGGGTTGACATCTTTTTAATATTGAATTTTCTAGTTTATGACTGGTTTATCTCTGCATTTGTTTAGGTTCTCTTTAATTATTCCTAGCAGTGTTTTGTAGTTTCCTGCATAGAGATCTTACGTGTCTTTTGTAAATCTGATTTCTAAATATTTTGAAGGTATTCTAAATCAGTTTAAAACTTTTTGGGCCAGTGGACTAGTGGTGAAGTTCGGCGTGCTCCGCTTCAGTGGCCCGGGTTCAGTTCCTGTGCCCGGACCTAGAACACTTGTCTGTCAGTGGCTGTGCTGTGGTGGTGGCTCACATACAAAAGGAGGAAGATTGGCAGTGGATGTTAGCTCAGGGAGAATCTTCCTCAGCAAAACACAAACAAAAAAACCATTTTTTTTACTTTTACATTATTGCTGCTGGTATGTAACAGTTGATTTTTGTGTTGATCTTATATTCTGCCATCTACTAAATTCACTTATTAGTTCTGGGAACTGTTTTGCAGATTCTTTAGGATTTTCTGTATAGAAAATCATGTCTATGACTAAAGACAATTTGCTTCTATCTGATCTTCGTGCCTTTTATTTCTGTTTTCTTCTTGCCGCTCTGACTAGAAGCTCCAGCGTGATGTTGAGTGAAAGTCGTGACCTTGGGCCTCTTCCCTTGTTCTGGGTGTGGGGGAAGCCCCCAGGATCTCACGAGTCAGTGATACCACCTCCATTCGGTTTCACAGGCATCCTTTCTCAGACTGAGGGTGTTTCCTCAGTCTGTTGAATTTTCTCAAGTGGTTTTTATACATGTGTCAACAATCATGTTTTTCTTTTAATGTGGTGAAACAAATTAACTTTAAGATTTTAAACCAATCTTGAAATGCTGGACTACATCACTTCACTCATGATATGCTATCTTTTTTTTTTCTTTTTGCATATTACTGGTTTAAATTTGCTATTTTGTTTAGGGTTTATGTGTTCAAGTTCATGAGGAATGTTAATCTATAATTTTTTGTAATGTCTTTGTCGGGTTTTGGCATTCAGGTTGGTCGGACTACGTGAAGCGAGTTTGGAAGTATTCTCTCTTCTGTTTTCCGAAAGAGTCGTGTGTGGGATTAGTAGGACTTCTTCCTCAAGTCGTGGATAAAGTCATGTTTGATGTTTTTTGTATAGAAAGGCTTCTGATTAGAATTCCTTTTGTCTAACAGAATTAGGTGCTGCGCTCACCCACCTCGAGGGCATCTCTCCTTGACGTGGCTCTGTGCAGGTGGAGGCCTTTGTGCCCTCCGAGGCTGTGTCCTCTGGCTCTGCTGATGGACAGTAGCCCAGGGGATTTTGAGCAGACCATCCTTAAGGCTCTAGGCCCTGTTCTCACCCTCCTTCTTGCGCACTGTGAGTCTCGGGATCTTTATGTCCCCTAAAGCCATGCTGCTTTTGTAAACTGGAAGCTGGCCACTGATGTCTGTCCTCAGTGACATTCGTCTACATTCTGCACACAGTATGATTCCTGTTCCCACGTTACTTCATTGCCTGTACAGATGGCTGCAGAGTCACCATTGGTTTCTTTTTGTACAGGCTATGTCACTCACCTTTCTTTCCCTAGAAATGTTTGAGTGAAGAATATCAATTTGGAAAGTGGTATAATAGTCTCAATTTTATAACTTCCTGCCAATATTAAGTTCCCACTAACAACTGTCATATTCGGGAATAATAGGCTTGCTTTTCCAAGAG